GTTCTTAAAATCTCTAAGAATTCTAGACCGTGATGGCGGTTTCTGGGAGCAGGCGCCAAAATATGACAATCGATGGCGTCTGGGAGGATCTCTACAATGGTCTCCAGGCTGTTTACCGACGGGAAGTGATGAAATCTCAGCGATATATGGAGCTATACACGTAAGAATATGGTTTTCCCCCCTTACCTATTACCTTTTTAGTTCAGAGTATTTTCCATTCTCACTGAGGCTTTACCCATCTTAGAATCTTCTCAAGAGAAATGCTATTTTTTGGCCAAACTCTTTTCTTCCAGAAGTCAAGACTCTTGGGAAAAAGGCTTAATTTTTCACTAAGATTTGTTGAAAGAGACAACATCCCTGTTCTCATATTCATAGCCTAGTTAACTTTTTTGGGGATATTGCTGAGAATCAGTCTCATAAGATAAAAGTAAAAATTCACTGCATTCGTTTCTATCCCTTCGTAGGACGTTTCCCATCTGGTTTATAATAGGAGCGGTTTCATGATTCATTTTTTTGATCTTGGATTTGGAGTAGTGAGCTGTGAGATGGTGCTTTTCTTCTGACTTTTTGGTTTCCATCAGGTTTTTTGTGGGAAAAAAAACTTGTTCTATCATTTCGCATTTTTTGAAAAAATTGGAAAGTTTCATCGGTATAGGTCATATACTGGAAAAGAAATAGTCAAGATTATACGAGATAGCAGGATTTCTGTGGGATAATTTGATCTTCAAGAGAGATTGCTGGAAATCCTGCTTTGCACGCGAGACCTTTTTTCTGTCGATCGTTTTGGATCCTTCATGCATGCAAATTAACAGAAAAAAAAGTAGATTGTTAATAATCGACGTTTTATAAAATTATTAAATTTTACTCTGCCCTTCTATCATTCTTATTTGCCATTGCAGACAGAAGTTCGCTTGCAACTTTTGTTACTTATGCAACACTAAATTATTTTTAAAATTCACTGATGCAGCTATCTGCCTTGCCATATGGGTAATTGTGATCTTTTCATCGCCTGTAAACTATCTAACTCAGAATCATAATAGATTTATTTGTATTGGGTAACCAGATGATGCTGGATTCATTTGCAAAATATATTTTTCAGGAGCGTGTACGATTTCTGTACCGCTGTCTCGGTAAATCCTTCCACACCTGCCGGTGGCGTTGTCGGTCGTCCGAGTAGATCGGGTGCACGTTCATCTCACAAAAACTACAATGCTGAGGATGGAGCGGTGACAGGAACAGATTTTGTTGGTGTTGAAATGTATGCAAAACTGACTGCATTTATTGAATCTTACGTCAGAGATCAGCTTAAAGCAAGTTTAAAATATAATGCTTTTCTGACAAAAGTTTCGAATAAAGTCGCCTATTTCAGGGCGCCCAAGATTTGCTTGGTGAGGACTTGTTACGTTATTACACGACGCAGTGGTCAGAATTCAGATTTTCCTCAAAGGTATTCTTCTCCGTCAAGTAGTCCCTTTTTCTTTTTTTTTTCTTTTTCCCTGTCAATAAATTGATGTGTCTAGGTTGTTGATGGCATTTTCTCCTACCTTAATAGACACTGGATCAAACGGGAATTAGACGAAGGAAACGGGAACATTTACATGATATACACGGTAGGAATATTAACCCTTTCTTATATTTATTTAAACGAAGAATAAGTATGTTAAGATACCTTGAGCTATCAATGTTGCCACTTCATTTTTGTAGTTTTCGAATCAGCGCTGATGTAAATTTCTGAACCTTAAGACCTTTATTTGCTTTGATAAATTGAGTCTATAGAATTGGTTAATCGATCCATACAGTTCGAACAGAAATGGGTGTTGACAAGACTTTTTTCAGTTAGCACTTGTGATATGGAAAAGAATTTTATTCATGGAAAGTAAAGAACGGGTCACTGATGCTGTACTGGATCTGATTAGGCGTGAACGAAATGGAGAGACGATTCCTCGGAAACTAATTCGTGATGTAACAGATTGTTACGGTACTCATTAAACTTACCGCCTTTATCCCAATAAATCCCATTTTCTTCTATGCCTAATAGCAAGCATTCTCTGGATTTCAGTTGAACTCGGCATAGAAGAAGATGAAACCCCGGATCAGGTGCGCTCTGCTCAACCAAATCCCAATGCAAAGCTGAAGGTGTATATGGTAAGTTTTGATTCCCTCGTATCTCGCTGCTCTTATGTCATGCACCTTTGTAGGACCATTTCGAAGCGAAGTTTCTCCGAGAAACAGAGAACTACTATGCCAATGAAGCCCAAGCTTTCTTGGA